ACCTATGGTAAACTTAATAAATGGTAGCTATCATTATTATCATAACTATGTTAGTCAACTAGTTGTAAGTCTACATACATTACCAAGATTCTAGACAGAAGAGTAATTGATTTTGCATAGGAGAGTCTAGGTAGGCTTCATTGAGGAGTTGGCATTGAGGAGCAGTCTTGAAAAATGAACAGAATTTCAACAGAGAGTGAAGACAAAGGTGCTTTGGGGAGAAGAAATGAGTTTAGTATCTGGTATGTTGGTATGTTAACCTTGAGATCTTTGCAGACAGCTGAAAAAAATTGTCTAGATTCATTAGAAAGATTGAAGCCAGAATTGGTTGATTACTAATAAATCAATAATACTAAGAAGCAAAACCACAAGAATAGATTGGAATGTCAAGGAAAAAACTTGGGGAACAGGCAGGGGTGGAGAACATGAAGATCATTAGTAATTAAAGAAGAGGAATCTTTGAAGGCAGAGAAATAACAAGCAGAGATCTGGGAGAGGGCAAGTTTAGAAAAGACTGACTTGTTCAAACAGGTATCAAAATGGAGCCTAAATCCCAATGGAGAACAGAGAAAGTTGTTCAAATTTCACCTGAGAAGGAATATAGTGCAACACGCATTCCTCGAGTCACGATATACCTGGATTCATATCCTCCCTCTCACTCTTCCTACCTGTGTAAACCTTAAACAAGATGCTTTTCTTCTGTAATCATAAGATCTCATGTATGTAAAATAAAAATAGTGGGATCTACCTTATAAGACTGTTGTGTTTAGAATGAACTAATATACGTAAAGCACTTAGGAAATTGTCTAGATAATGACACACACATGTGTGCACCTGGGAAAATATAAATTGGTCAATGCAAATTTAATACCAGAGAAAAGAATAGAACAATCATCAAATTACTTTCCATCACTCACAGGAGCTCTACATATTGTGTAACAATTCAAGTTGGATTTCTGAACAAACAAATAATGTCAAGGTCAGACCAATTTAATTTTCTTCCCTTGAAGAATATTAGACCTGTAGGTAAGAGAAAAGTAAAAGATTGAATGCAGCTGAACTAGCTGGGTTTTCTGTCTGTCTCCATGATTTTTCTACCAGTAGGCTGCAAGAAATTGTTTAGACCAGCATGTTCTCAAAAGAGGACAAGTTTCTTAAAAAGTTAAGTGGTTATTATTATTATTAAGTAGTTAGTTATTAAGTGTTCCATGAAACAAATAAGTTTGGGAAACATTGGGTAAAATATATTACTTTACTGTAGGACTTCTCAAATGTTTTCAATAACATAATGTGGATATCTGAGAATCAGTATAGTGTACAGCATTTTCCAAACTTATTTGGACATGGAATTCTTTCAAGGGTAGTAGAACAGAGTTTGAGAAGCACACATGTAGATACTGTATTATCTTTGCTGGAGCTATGGTTCCTACAGAGTGGTTACTAAGTTTTTAGTATCTATATGTAGAAAAATATTATGTGTTATTCCACAAGGATCAGAGTTTAAAGAGTGTTACTTAATGCTTTTATTAATGAGCTGGACAGTGGGGAATCAAGAGTACCATGATTAAGCACAAAGTTGGACAAAGTTGGACAGGAAATTCAAAGGGCATTCAATTAACAGGGAGAAGAAGAAAGATGTCTTTTCTATAAAACATAAGCTTTGTAAAAAAATAAGAAAAATATACTGATACACATGCATTGGCTTTAAAAGACCAAGAAAACACACTGGGTCTTGAATAAAAGCATGTGAATAAAAACATTATCACAAAAGTTATCTCTTCTGCCTCTACCAAGTGTATTGTATGAAAAGCACAGGGAAAGGTGGGGTGTCTCGCAGACTGGAGTGGTTATACTGCAGAGTGTTGGCCTTGTGTACTCTTCTTTCTTGGCGGTACATGCTTCATACAAAAGTGGCCTTGAGTTGCTCTGGAATGCAGGACCTCCAAAGCCTAATGACTCCCAACAAGGTCCCATCTAGGTTATCCCTGCACGATGGACTGTCTTCAGAAGGAGACCTTATAATTCCCTGCCATTATGAAGGCCTCCTTGTTCTCTTGCTAAAAGTTGTGGGGATGGACAGAAACTCACCATCCTATTCAAAAAGTATCCTGGCAGCTTGAGATTCTGCTAAATCTAGAGATTATCTAATAATATGAGTGGCATTTCTAGGCCACTGAAGGGTCAATGTTGAAGGACCAGAAGTTGCAGCTCCTCCTGTTTTACTTCGTAGGTTTTGTATTTTTATATTAGGAGATGATATATCTTAAATACCCCTGACTTAGATAACTGACTCTTAATGTACTAACTAGAGTCCTGTGAGTGTGTGTGTGCACGTGCATGCTCTCTGTGTGTAAGAAAAAGCCAATATGAAATAAAAACTACAAAAGAGCTTAAAGTCCTGTGCTCGGCTTGAAGTACCACACTGATGAATTAGAGGACTTCCAGGGGAGGCAACCAGGTAAGAGACATGAAAACATTATCACATGAAAAATAAAGTTGACAATGGTTAACCTGGAGAAGACGTGAAACTGGGGTCAATATAGTTCTTTTACTACTTAAAAAGAGATATGTGGTTAGAAATTAGGAGACACTCAATATTGATGTTAATAAGTAACTTTTATCCTAAATAAAACAGTCCAACAATGGATAAGACTGTCTTATAAAAAATCCTAAAAAATAAAATTCTTTTTGAACACTTATTTTGTGACAGGTGTTATGCCAAACACATTACATGAATTATCACAGCCAATCCTCTCAAAACCCCTGTGAGGTAAGAACTGTTATTGTTCGCACATTACAAATGGGAAGGAAGCAGCGTTGGAGAGGTTAGCTTACTTCCTCAAGGTCACACAGCTAGTGAATGGAGGAACTGGGATTTGATCCCGCAACTTGTGCACCAAACTACTACATTGCTTACTTCCCTCCTTAGAGGTTTTAAAGCACAGTCTGATGTGCAGAGATTTAGTTGAAGGGGTTCTTTCCATTGCAAGGATGGACCACTGCAGATAATTTCTAAAATCTTTCTTATAGTATCTGCCACACTGAAACACTGGATTGAACCCCCTTGGCCATTGGGTCCATCTGTCACCTTCTTACTTTAACAGAGATGAGAAAAGGTCCAAAAAAGCCTAGAGGAAGCCAGTAAAAACTAAGGGATGGATGGACAATTGGACCTGCAAGGAAAACTGAATGAGGTTTCATTCTTTTGACCAGGTGGTGACTTGGTGATCCTCAATATGCAAACACTTAGGGATATGTAAGTCATTTCCATGGAGAATATAGCAAGAAATCCATTTCAGTGAGAAATCTTGGCTGAAATAAGAAAGTCTTCCCCATGAAAATGTCCTGAAATGAACAAACACTTTGAAGCACTGTTACGGGGTGAAGACCAGGGTCATGTTAGAACAGAAGATGATGCCTTCCACAACAGCCCAGCCCAGCTGCCTCTGCAGGGCTGTGGGCAAGTTGGCCTGCCCGAGGATGAGCCAGAGCGCCAGCCAGTGTTTGTGAACCTCGTTCTCTTCGAGCCTGCCCCACTAAAGCAGCAGTAGACACTGAAAAGGAAATCTGGGCCATTTTCACTCTGGGAAAGCTTTAAACTAAATTTGACAACTGTGGTCATGGGGGTTCTTCGGTGGCCAGCCACAGGGGATTGCAACAAATAACCTTGCAAGATCCCTTCTGAGTTCACGCGTCTGGCCCTCAACAATTGAGGAAAGGTCAGAGTCTCCATTAATAAAATTGCCTTGAAAAATCAACATTTCTGCTCAACAGAGTTTTAATGTATTAATTTTAAGAGCAAGAAGTCAGTTTTTTCTTTAACACAGAAAGAAAATGAATACTCTTACAAAGAAGGATTTTTTTTAACTTTTGGAAGGATATTTTTCCTGCTTCATAGAAATTTTATCATAATTTCATGCCCCCACACTTCGTGGCTTGTTACTTGGTCCATCACTCTTACATTTAACTTGATAAGGTCCTGGTGCCTGTGATATTGGTTTTTAGGTTTGGTTTCTCACAGCTGCTCCTTTGAAGTGGCTGATAACATTCTTAGCCTTGCACGGAGCCAGTGGCTTTTTAAGTTCTCATTCTCCTGTGCTCACTGTCCTGCTGCTTCTTTTAGTTCTCACTGAATGGGTATATTCTAATCTCTTCCTTTTCTACTTTTTGAAGATGGCAAACCTTGGGCTTTTGCAGGTGGTTAATTGGTCCATGCATGGAATTGGGCAAATTGTTCAGGAACTAATCACTTTTCTCCTTGAGTATGTCAGAGCCTGTTTTCCTAGGGATAATCTGGGATTTCAGTGGGGCACACGTGTGAGTGGTAATGGGGCATCTCACACGGTTCCTATAAACACAGATAATGCCTGAGCTCTTTCACATCCTCACAAAAATCTCTTTTCTTAATGTGGTGCCCACACGCCTACAGGCGTACCCGCTACCTAAGACTGATCTCTACTCGCAGGGCGCATGGCAGGTATGGCGCAACTGCTGGGATTTGGAAAAAGCCAATTATTTTACTGGGCAAAGTTAGGGCCTAGCTAAAACTGGAAAGGGAAGCATTTTCTGGATAAAGCATCTCTTTGGTTACCCAGTATAGAAAATACGATTGTGAACATTCAGAGAATTTCTGAAAGGATCTTTATGGCTAAAATTAAATTAGAGTTGAAAGTTGTCAAGGCCTTATTTTAATAGCAAATTAACTTGGGGGAGGAAAAAAATCACCCCTTGTCCCATCTACTTAGAAAAAATTGCTTCTGTGATTTCAAGAATCATTTCCCAACACACTTAATGTGAATGATAGGAGACTGAATTTAACAGATGATCAGCGTGCCAAAACATGCTCATGAGTGGTAAAATAGGGCCTAAAACATTAGCTGCATTTTGAAAAGGAATGAAACAACCGGTAGGAGGAGTAAAATCACATTGCAGGTGAAATTAGAGGCAGTATCAGCTCGTTGTGCACAAGGAATATGGTGCTGTCCCGCAAAGTTACTCACAGGTATTTGCAGTGCCTTTGGGGATGGGGAGATACGAGCCTGGACTCCAAGGTCGGCCCTGATAATTCTTCTTGCATTTCCCACAGTCTGGACCTGTAGTGTTGTGCTCACATTCGCACGTCAATTTGCTGTTGTCGTACACACACACGGTGGCGTGGAGATTACACTTGCACCTGGGCGGAGGAGAGACAAAGAATTCATCGTCAGTCAAGCTGGCCTTAGCGACCACGGAGGCTTTCCGGGTCTGTCTCCCAGGCTTGTGGCTTCCAAACCGTGTGCTGCTTAGTGATACATAGAGGCGTTTGGTAAAATGTAGATTTGCAGGCCCAGCGCTCAGAATATTTTCAACAAGTGCCTTTTGGTGTGGGCTTGTTATGATGCAGTCTGTCCTCACACTGTGCTTTGGAAATACTACCAGTCAGTTCAGTGGAGGCCTGAAGCTCCCACCAAACAACTGTGCTCCATAATAAAGGGTTTCCCAGCAGGTGTCCAAAATATTGCCACTACTGAGAGGTTTTCCTGTGATATTATTGAACTGATGTCAATTTCATCTGGGTTTCATCCAGGTTTAAAGAACAATGTTATCTTCTTTTTTTCTTTAAATCAGTAGGACAATTCTTATTTGTTTAAAAAAAATGATAGCCATTAAAAGAGTTTGCTACTGAGACTTATTTTTATAAACCCAAGAGGTTATAATCAAGTGTTCTCATTCTGGGCTCTAAAATGACATTTTCTCAAATCAGAAGAGGTTTTCTGCTAAGGCCTCTAACTGACCTGAGGAGAGGTGAGGCAGTAACCCTCAGACACAGCACTCACTGCAGATCAGGTGATCACAAAGACCTCTCAGAAACAGGCCAAACTACTCTAATGAAAGATGCTTAGAATCCTGGAAAATAATAAAAAACAACCCTTTGTGTGGCAGGGGTTTGAAGTCATTAGCAAAGGCCTTGCCTTTGCTGCCTGTAATAAAGCTGTGACATATGAGAGGCAACGATGGAATACGCAATTTCTACAAAAATACATCCCCATATCCAAAGTTTTTGACCATAAAATTGCAAAGGCCAACTTGATATTTGTTGAGGCAGCAGGTTATAAATTGTACCACGCCAAGCATGGGTCACATCCTCTGGAAAAGTAAAACCTAAGTTGACAGAATGACCACGACCCGAGGTCAGAATAACATTTGTGAGGAGAGATGTGTCCGTACAAAGGGGAGAGCGTGGCACCCCGGTTGGGGGATAAAGTACCAAGATGGGGCGTGAGTTAGAACCTGAAAATATGTGTGCCTGTGTGTATGTGTGTGTATGTTTTAAAACAAACTGGCCTCTTCCAGAAACTAGGATAAAAACACAGAAACTCAAGTTTCACAAAGTTTCATCTACTTCGAGTTTCTTTTGAAGCAGATGTCATGAACTGGGAAAAAATAACAGAATACTGTCTCTTAGGTAGGAAAATGAGATTCTTTAACATCTCTGGTGACGGCTTCTCTGATGTCTGTACAGCAATGGCCAGGTTTCTCTTTTGTGCATTGATGATCTGTTTGGAACACTGACCCCTACTTAAGACAAGGAAGGAAAGGAATGGCTAAGACTATTACTGAGAGATACTGGGATTTCTTCCAACTAAAAGGTGTAGCCCCTAAAGCAATGACCATCTCTGGGGAAGCCAAGCTTCAGCTACGTTAGATATCTACTACTATTTATAATATTTCTAGCTACACTCTACCCTTCGTATACTTATAAATTATAATAAGCTAGAAAGCTACTATTTAAATAATACCTGTTCAACTTAGACACATAAATGTTACCTTTGAAAATTAACATTTGTACATTCTCTTAAAAAGGCAAGAGAAAAATAATTCAGTTAAATAGACAGTGTTTAATTATGTGCTAGGTTCTACAACAACCTCCTATATGCAGGGAATTACTTGTGCTAGGTTGCTTATTAAAAGATCTCTCTCCTTCCAACATTACCGCCTTTATTTATGGGTGTGTTTATATATAGGAAGATGTTTGAAACCTAAGTGATAGAAGCGCCAGCTTATATTGATTTAGCACCATATCTGCTGTTAACAATTCCAAATGAGGAAATGAACAATGTGACCCCAAAGAATATGCTGGTTTCATGTGCGAAGACTAAAAATGCAAGTAGTAATTGTAAATTGGGTTATATATCTTGTGACTGTTAATACTTTCATACTTGTAGCTGCTCTCTGAGTTACAGGCAATTTCCATTCTAAAGATATCATATTAGCTGAGAAAATATTCTTTGAATAACAAAAGAAGGTAAAAGGAGAATAGATGAATGTTTAGTCTTATTTTTCTCAGATTTCTTCCAATTAATGGCTCATTCTCACCTGCCCAAAAGCTTATTAATCATTCAAGGCTCAACTCAATTCATAACCCTTCCCTGAAATCTATCCTGACCACTGTAGACACCCTGAGCTCTACTTTTATGACTTCCTTAAATGCTTCTGTGTGTTTGGTCTGGTTAATTGTTATTAAAGGCTCTTTGTGCTTTTAAAGTTTCGTGCTCGTTGCATAAGTTTCTCCCATCTTCTGCGCGTACCTGGTCGTGTTCTCCAGCTACCTCCTTAGCACTCTCCTTTCCCTTCCTGAGTTTTCTACACTTACCATCTGTTTTTTCACCTCCCACTCACTCAGTCTTTCCAACTGACCACAGACTCTCTTGCCAAGATCACCCATGACCTCCTTGTTGAAAATCCAGTGGATACTTTTCCTTCCCTTGTTTGATCTGTCAGGGGCATTGACCTCAGACCACTCCCTTTCTTCTGACCCTCTCCCTGCTGATACCCAAGCTCATTTTCAAGATCCTCTTCCATCTGTTCTTTACCTGTGCTGTTTTTGGGTTTTTGGCCAGAACAGTCAGGACACTCTCCCTGGGCACACTTATCTAGGCTGTCCCTTCATTCTCTCTGTGGTCCTGAACTTCCTTTGAGTTATTGACCTTTTAAAGCAAGTTCGTATTACCTCCCTTTCCCCCAATAAATGTATATTTTATATATATAAATATTTATTATTTTAAGCTCAAAAATTTGAAAAAAATTTTAGGAGATGCAGAGATTGTCTATTACCTGAGGGATCCATAGAACCCCCTCCCTCCATGATACTAAACGAAGACTATCTGGTCACCATATCGCTAAGTCCAGGATCTGTATCTCCATCACGGATCTCTCTCCTGGGCTTCAGATTTATTCACCAAAATACCTCCTGGACACATCAAACTCCTCGTGTCCCAAACTGAACTCTTTGGCTTCCCTCCTCACCTACTCCTCCCTGTTTTTTCTATCTCAGTAAATTGTACCACCTTCTGCCCAGTTGGCCAAGAATGACTCTCTTTTCTCCTTTTCCTATTACATCTGATCTGTCATCACTCAGTCTCTCACCAAGTCCACAGATGCCTCTTCCTTGATTATTTCTCAGATCCACCCTGTAATTGCAATTATCACTTCCTTAGTTGAGATCATCATCATCTTTGATCTGGTTTATTATAATCACTTCTCAACAGAATTTAGTGTTCCAGCTGTGTTCCTCTCTAACCAGTCTCAACACAATAGTCAAAGCAACCTTTTACACAAACATATGTGGATGCGCCTGGCTTAGAACCATTGTAAGATTTCCCAGTGTTCCCCAGAGAAAGTCCAAGCTCTGTAACATGGCTTGCGAGTCCCTTTGCAACTTGAGTCTTGTTCCTTCTCCAGCTTCATTTGTACCACTCTTAACTCTATATTTAGTTCTTCAAACTTTGCCTTCAGGTAATCTTATAAGCTGTTTCTTCTGCATGCAACATTCTACTCTCCCATCCCCACCTCTTTTATCTAGAAAATTTTTCCCTTCGAATGTTAACTTGGATATCACAGTGCCTGACTCCTAATTGATATTCAGAAAACATCAGCAGATCAACTATCTGAATGCTTCTCTGACCCACCAAGATGCCTTTCCTATGTGCTCCTATGACATAGGGCAAGGCTAATTGCATACTAAAGCTCATACTATCTCTGCTGCAGATGTAGGCTGTATTTTAATTGTTTATTCTTCTGTCACCCTCACTAGAGGATAAACTCCTAGGAGGCAGCAGTCATGTCTGCCTTATTTATGGTAACATCACCAACACATGACAAGGTGCTTGGAACATAAGTGCTCAAAATATATTTGATAATTAAACAAATTAATAAGAAACGAGTAGACTTCTTGGAAGCAGGAACTTCATGTGCATGTTCTACTATGTTCTACTAGCATAGCAACGGAGTAACAGTAGAGAATTAATAGACATCATACTAAATCAAACACTCCATCATGTGTGCTGAAAACTGCCACATGCCCTCATCATTGGTTTTCATAACAACTCTATAAAATTTGTGAGATGTTGTAAACCCAATTTAATTTAAGTTAAACTCCAGAGGATTTAGCAGGCAACCGAAACCTAAAACAAGAGCATCCTAAAACAATGCCTGAAAAACCCAGGAAAAGAACACATCTTAGCGGGGAGGAAAAAGAAAGCATTTGCTTAGCATAATTACTCTGGAATGTGCATCCTTTAGGTTCAACTCCTCATGCAAAGACGACTAGCCCTGTTCAGCTGAAGTCTGGGGAGCATTGCTTGAGTACTGGCTAAAACTGTAACTTCCCTGACAGTAAATCTGGTGACCTAGCTCAGCTTTTGGGCTGTCTTTCCCCAGTCATTACGACAACAGCTGTGCTGGGGCTGAGCACCGAGAGTGGACGCTGAGGCTCCAGGAGATTGGCCTGTGTTTGCAAATGGTTCCCTTTCATTTTCCACAGCTCAGTTTATCCTCACCTCCCCCATTCCAATTAGAAACTAAAATCTGTTATTTAGAGCCCTTGCCAGAGTGGCTTTTCCTCCAGTGGGGGAAGAAACGGATTTCACAATGCTGGGAGATTGCTGTTGTCAACTCCTGGTGTTGTGACTTCTGGCCTTGTGATAGGTGGAGGGCAGATTTCTCTGACATTCCACTTGTCTCATTATCCGTTTCCATGGCCATCCAGCTCCCTCGTCTACTGTCACATTAGGCAGGGGAGGAACTGTACAAGTGGAGACCTACGAGCCTTCGCCAGCAGTCACGGATTCTGTTTACACACATGTAGCTCATACCAAGACAATGCAGATACAACTAATTGACTTGTGCGTATGT